CCCCCCCCCCCCCCCCTTTCGTTTTTGCTCTCTTCGCGGTCGAGTTACACATGATGAAGTGCTTGTTGTTCTCTTTGAGGCGTGACAGGAGTCCAGTGTCGAAGGGCCTGGAGGCTGCCGCCTCTTGTCAAAGTTCACCACCAACTGTTTGACGTTCCTAGTGTACCCCCCCCCCCCCCCCCCCCCCCCCCCCCCCCCCCCCCNTTTTAGAGATTGATATTAGAAAACCCTCGCAAAGGCGGTTCCTCCCCGCCCCCCAACACCATGTTGTGTGTTGTTAACTTACGCTGCGCGTGGCCTCTTTCACGCTGCGGCAGGCTGGTGCCGAAGGAGCTTGAAGCCGGGGCCACCCCGGGTAAGGGTACGGACGTGAAGCTGGTCGACAAGCAGAACGAAGAGTACGTCGCACCGCCTTACGTGGCGTTCGGAGGAGATGGCCAGACCATGGGGTGCGTTCGTCTACAGCAGTTGTTCGTCGAATGGATTACATGAGAAATGGAGTTTTTTTTTTCTTGTGTGTGTGTGTGTGTTTAGGTACTTCCTCCTTTGTTTGAAGTTCCCAAGCTCGGTAGAGGGGCGGCAGCAACGGCGGAGGCAGCGGCGTCGCCGGTGGCCGCGTCAACACCGCGCAACACGCTGCTGCTGTCCGCCGCCGCCGCCGTCGCGACACCCACCACATCAACTATAGAAGAAGAATGGTAGGGGGCCGAAAAGCGGACCTCCGGGACCAATAAACGGACATTACGTTCACCTTGTGGAAGTTGTGGACCTTGTGGTGTTCTCGCGTGACGTGGCGAACCCGTGTGCAAGCACGCCCTCAAGATTGCGAAGATCAAGTGGTTCGTTCGACTCGCCGCTAGGTGGTCGGGTTCCGGTTACACCCCTGCGAGTGGTAGCCTCCTTCTCTGAAGAGTGTTGTTCCGGTTTCACAATGTTTTCAGAGCAGAAGGAATGTCGGGGTAACCGGAATCCGACCACCCGGCGGCGAGTCGAACTGCTTGTTTCTTGTCATCTTCTGAGTGTGCTTGCACACGGGCTCGGTGTGTGGTGAGATGATGAGAAGTTCGACCGGATAGTTGAACATCTGTTTTATTTTTTGTCCCCCACCAATATATCCCCGCCATGGGTGTTTACCATCGGGATTGGGTTTTCGTCGCTTGGCAAGGACGTTGTAAAACAAGCCGATTCACTTCATGAACTTGGCAACCAGGTTACCGTTTTTTTTCGTACCTCCGTTTTTTTTTTGGCGGTAACCATAGTGGTGGTCGAGTAGATCATGTTGTGCGGGGTGGAGAACCTCACTCCGCGCAAGGGGAATGATCGCACCACATTGTGTTAAAATGGTCAAGCACCCTCGAGGCAGTTACACAGTGCTTACAACTGTCTCTGGAAGTGAAAGCACCAGAAAATAAATTAATTCATACGCAGCTGTCATCCGTACGCAAGGAAGTAAGCACAAGATGCCGAACACCGCAGGATGCAGCGAGCGCACCCTTCATGCGACTCGCCGAATATCTCACGGCGCTTCGCGCTTGGTGATGTGAGAGCCTGGTCCGGTGAGAACCCGGCGTGCTCCGTCCCGGCTTTGCAGGGATGCGAGGTCAATGGTCTAACGACTACGGCATGCACGACTATGAGTACACCCCCCCCACCAAGATATGCATACTTTTGTGAGAGATGGTGGGTGGCCGGATTTTCGGTCCCGGGTCCTCTTCCCGCGTAAAATATCAGACATGTCTTCATCGCCACCAACATCAAACGAAGGAATCGTGCTCGATAAGTCAGAGACGTTGGTGGTATGTATGCATGTATTGGCGAGGAAGGCCATTGGGCGAGAGCCTTCGTGGACACATTCTCCCGACCTCCCAGGGATCCATCGACTAGTTCGCAGCCGTTGAGAGAACCAGCGGAGTGGAACGATCCTCGGAACAGCGATTCGTGTTTCCGGCAGATCTTTACTCTTTCTTCTGAGTCAGCAGTGTACAATCTTACATGAACACACGATACCGATACCCGACCTCCGCATGTCCCACTACTGCCAAGAGGACTCTTCCCTCTCGTCATACCCAAACCAGATCATTTTCTCAAAACCCGGATTCGGTACTCCCCCCTTAGTATCGGGCGAGAACAGCTGAGTGTCTAGTTGTGCCGCATGTCGCTACGCAGGGCATATCGTTCAACAGTGTGTCGTCGCTAAACCGGCCAGCCAACCGCTGCTGCTGCTGTGTGTGTGTTTGTGTGTGTACTATTATAGGGCGCCAACGGTGGCGGAGGGTGCCGTGATGACCGCCACAGGAGCTCCCGACGCCTCGGAAACGCCGGAAGTCGACGCCTCGCAGCCCTCCACGACGCTGCAGATCCGGCTCCACGACGGGAGGCGTGTCAGGGCGCAGCTCAACATGCACCACACCGTGCGACACATCCAGGCCATCATCGCCAGGTAGAGTGTATGCGTTTGATGTGGGTAGCGTAGGAGGATATGTGCACACACACAGCCGGTAGGGTAGGTTGCCTAAGGTGCCCCCCCCACACACACCCCTGGACTGATTTTCAAGGAAGCTGGATAGCCTCTTGTAGCGAAGATCAGGGAGGGTGCCCAACAAGTGGCGTCCGTTGGAACCGTCACGTCGAGAGCTTTTCCGAAAACGCGTCGTTTGTGTTTTTCAGAGTCGTGTTGGTTGTGCAGGAGTCGAGGCCTGAAGAATCGGTGCGAATGGTTGTGGCATCTCACGCACCCTCTACAGTACGACATGCGCGTTTTTCTCTCTCGCCTTCGTTTCTCCGTTTCGATGAAGACGTTTCGGGCGAAAGTCGTATCTCTCTCGTTGCTGCCCCCTGGATAGCTCTCAGGTTGTGTTTTCGTGAGGCATGTCGGCTTGGCTCATTCATGAAAAGGCGTGGCGTCCTGTAGGCGCTTTTTGGCATCCTTGCTATTGGTTGCAGAAGTTGGTGTGTTAAAATCCTGTCGAATTCCTGGTGGGTCTTCCTTCGTTCGCGGTATGTACTACATGCGTGATCCTGCGTCGAGTGTCAGGCGATGCTCGCACCTTGCTGTGTTAACGAAGTATGTTTTAAGTTTCCGTCCTACGCTGGCATTTAGAAAACAAAATCGCCTCGACTGCCGCCAAACCACAGCAGTTCCGAAACAGTATTTCAGAAGCTATGTTAGGTGCACTCGCGCCATTTTCCCATTTCTTCCTCGCTTATTAATATTTATTTTTTTGTGCCATCAGGGAAGGGGCTGGAGGGGGCTCGTACATGCTCATGGCGGGGTCCCCCCCCGCCCCCCTCTCGGACTCGTCGCAGACGCTGGAACAGGCCGGGTTGAAGGGGGCCTCCATCACCCAAAAGCTAGCATGAAGCGACAGAGCATCGTGTTGCCTTGTGCAGCAGGCTGCGCTTAGTTGAGGAAGCTTGCTCGAGCCGGGTCGTGGCCTCCTCCCCAACTCAAGGCCCAAAGGCATGGACGAACGCATGGCCAACCCACAAGTTCGCGAGTAAGCGCCCGAGAGACGGGTTGGGAACATTCGATTGGCGGCTTCGTCCGCCGTGCTTCTACGAGCTGCTGTAGATTCACGCCGGTTTTTTGGGGTCGGGGGTTGGCCATGATGCCCGCAATCGAGCGGCTTTCCCTCTCCCTCTCCCTCCCGCGATCGTGGTTTGGTTTCGATTCAGTATGTCATGTATATGCGCGCACCAGCTGTTTTCCTGTTTTTTGTTTTGTCATGAAATGGCCTTTTCCTTCTCGGCGCGATCTTGCGTGCATGCTAGACGTCTAGGGGTCGGACTCGTGTGCTGTCGGCAGTTTCCTTTGGCGGAAACGACTACGGTAGCTGTATTGATTCTTGATAGTGCTTGTTTTGTGTTTGTCCATATGCAGACAAAAAAATAATGAGTTGATCGATCTTGGGAGTCTTCCTCATCAGCAACACACGTGTCTTTGACAGACGGATTTCGGCTCGAAAGCAAAGCTTTCTTCGTTTGTTCTTGCTCTCTCCCTCTCTCTCTGCCGAACGCTACGGAAGGCTGGCTGGCTTGGGAAGGCTGGCTCGGAAAGTGCGGCGTTTCACAAGAAAGTACTATGCACCATTTTCCGTTTGCTGCCGTTTCGTGCTTGGAGACATTTTCACCCACCAGGCGCCAATAACCCCCAAGTTTTTTAAGGTCATCGTCGACGTATGCTACCACACATATATGTGGTCTAAATAGTTCGACCCCCCACTTTTCAACTGGCTGTCGGTGGTACATGCCGCGGGGGAGGTGCCCTGGATGCTGTTGTGCTGCTCACCCACGCTAGCTCCGTCTGCGCTTCTTTTCGCGATATTGGTGGCGGTGATGATGCCACTGCTGCCACTGATTGGGCATTGCTACTGATAAATGGGTTGCACGCACCAGGAGAAATCATGCCATACAAACATCGTGCTGAATGCTTTGCTTTTGTTTTTCGTTTCGTGCATGGCCAAAACACGATAGTATTGCGTTTGGTTCCTTGGTGACAAAAGCGTGCCCAAGTAGCAACAACAGTGGGAACCCCGGGCGGGGATAGGTCGTGGTGTCCCCTAGCTGGATGAGAGAGATTGTTCGGCCGAGTTGGCGCTATTTCCCGAGATGTTGTGGTAGTACAGCCTCCTCTACACAACGAACAACCGCCAAACCCTAACCTTAAGCCGGTCGCCCCGGTGGTCTGTTGGTAGCCTCACCACCTTCTAGAGGTCAGGTCAGGGGTTCGAATCCCGGCGTAAGCGAGCTTTTCTTGCAAAGTGAGTTTTTCTCTCGCTTCCGCCCCTGGCCTAGTGGATAGCGCTAATTCGTGCGTACACAGAGGGAAGAGAGTGCTGAACTCTTCTCGCATTGAAAATCGAAGGCAGAGTACCGCAGGAGGGGAGGGTATAGAGGGGCTCTTCTGTGTGACCACGGGTTGGAGTAAACGGCACTAGTGCCGTGAGCGCTGATTTGAAGTGAAGACAAAAAAAAAAAAACTTTCGTACCACATACACACCTCAACTCAAGAAAAATAAAGTTGCGAAACCCTACAGCCCTCCGCCGATCCAATCTTCTGGAAAATAACAGCCAATCTATGCCGGTGACCCTGAATTCCTGTGGCACTGTTGTCTTAGCCCCTTCCGCTGTCGCCATCCCCTCCCTCTACACGGCTCCTGTGCTCGCCGTGTTGGACCTCTTATTTATCCCTGGTATCGACGGCTTGGGCCGTATTTCTTGAACTTTCTGCGGAACCCCCGCTGTCGGCTGAAGGATCCGTCCAGTCGGGAGCCCTCTCCCACCTCCGTGATGGAGTTCACCAAGTCCTGGTTTGTAGGCGAAAACAGCAGTAGAGCGCACGATCACCCGACCGCAAGGCGGACACGACATATTTCGACTCATGAACGGATGCTTCGTGGTTGGTTCCCAATGACCACCGAAGTATTTACCACGGTCGCTCGCACCTATTGCACCTATTCTAATCTTGGCAGCTTATGCCACGCTCCCTTGCATGATAACAGAGGAGGACCACATGCCTCGGGAGGGCGAAGCAGTGGAACGGAACCAAAAAAGCACAGCGGATGAAGCAATCCAAGACGCACATTCCGAATGCTGCCGTACCTTGGTCAAGTCGTCGTAAAAGTTTGTGGCCTTGCCCGTCCTCCCCGCCCTAGCCGCTCGGCCCAAGCGATGCAAATGTTGTACCTTTTTCGGACACAAAAACAGGACGTTTTGATTGGTTGGTCAACACACACGAGAGGGCAGGGAAAATGGGGTGGCTTGGCCTTACCCCCATATGCTTGGCACTTCTGATACACTCCTGCTACTCCTGCTGATCTATGCCACAACTACGTCTCTACTACCACGCTACTACATTACTAGTAGTGCGAAGCCTACGAATCCTTCTTACTGAAACTAGGACTAGGATTACTACTACTACTATTACGTCAACAAAACTACTGTGCTACACTATAATAACAATACAACAATACATTCTGCTGCTGCAACGACTACTACTTTGCATACCGATACGACAACATGCTGCTGCAACTACTACGCCTCTACTGCTGTATGATTGCTAAACTCACCACGTTCGTGGCCATTTCCATCTGCACGATATTGGTCACGGACGGTACGTCGATCCCCCTGAAAAAAGAGCACAAAAACAATCAACGGAGCAACCAGAGGAAAGAATTGGAATTTGCTATGCATCTCGCGCGGATGCACGACACGACCGTTTACTGAGTTTCTTGGGTGAAACCTATCGTCCTTTGGCACGCCTAAGCATGGGATTTGGTCTTGACAGAAACAAACATGAACAAGAACTGTCCGTGTCCCAAGTTGTGAGACAGACGAAGAACACTCGACTTTGACGCGAACGCCACACTTCCTACGGTGGACGCGCAAGTTCACCAACAAGGACGTGCAGGTGATTCATGAAATAACATCGAAAACGCCAACCGAATGACCAGCGAACAGGCGTCAGTCTTACAGACGATGGATTGAACGACCGCGAACAAGCTGCTGTGTGTTGTGTGCGCCTTTGGTGGAATCGACCGCGCTAACCGGCTGACTCATCAAAAGCAGTCAGTCTTGTAGCGAGACACAAAAACACGAATACTTTTTCTAAACAAAAGGATCTTAAGCGTGTAAGAGAGAGCGCGCGCAAGGGAGAGGGAGAGAGAGAAATACGAGAGGGGCGAGAGAGAGAGAGAGAGAGAGAGAGAGAGAGAGAGAAAGACGGAGATAAACTGGCAGAATGCCAGGGTGCCAGAAGGAGGCAAGAGTTACCGTACTGCTGTACCTGGCCGCCAAGTCGGTGCAGACGAGGATCTTGGCCCTCCCGCTCCTCAGGGCGTGGAGGTTCGCCAGCCGCTCTAGAGGGACGATATCCTTGTGGTAGGGCACCACCGAGAACCCTTCCTCAGCCAGAGCCTCGTACGCTCGCTAAAAGGAAACAACCGGTGAGGGGGGGGGGTACGCAGGGCGGCGGCGGCGGCGGGGGGGCCTGTTGGTGTCGTGCTCACAAGGTTCACAAGGCACAATCCCTTTCAAGACGGACGAGCGTTGGTCATAGATCCCCACATCCCGGCACTCGTTGCTATGGATTCACCCTCTTGCTTGACACGGGAAGTTCTCGTTTCAAGAATCGGGCGCTCTTCCACATTTCTCCCCTACATGTCTTGCTTCAAACACGGAAAAATATTTGCCCATCTTTCGTGCCTTTTTTTGCGTGATATTGTACTGATGGTTGTTTCGAAACAACGGACTAATTTAGTTGGTCATGACTGAAGAGTCGTTAGCTAGTGATGGGGTGAGGTGTGCCTCCGCAAAGCCGCGTACCTTGCACGACGACGCCGTATTGGTGAAGACCATGGTTCGGCTCGTGTCCGTTTCCGAGACAGTGTCTTCCGTCCGTCGCAAAAAGCATGCGCACAGCAGCAAACCGAGGTCGTCGAAGATAGCAATTCAGCAACAGCATCGGAGACGACACAACGCAGCAGACGCTGATGATGAGCGTTTTTCCTGTCTTCGAGAGCTGCACACGAGTCACATGACGATAGATGCGCACAAGCCTGTGACGGAAAAACCGTGTGGTCGACACGTGGTGTGGCGGGACAAGACCTCACGCCATCGGAGAACAGAATGCACCACGCAGCAGCGCCAGCATCATCTGTCACCAAGAAGCGTGCCGATCACCACTAGGGCGCAGTCACCACCACTGCCGCCACCACCACAATCAATCCCAGAACAACCGCAACGATGCCAAGCAGCAGCACCAGCAGCACCAGCAGCGGCGGCAGCAGTTTGCCTGAGCAAACGCGTCACAGCGTCACAACAAATCAAGTCTCCCCGTTGTCGACTTCATCTGCCAACAAACGAGAGCTCCCTGTGTTGCAGCTTCCCTCCCTTGTTAGCTTCTCCCGCGCTTTCCCGTGGAGGCTTCAGCGCCTTCCCGCGGTTGCGTGGGTTGGAAACGGTGTCTATGATAACCCAGGACCGATGTTGACGACATAAAACCTTGATGTAAACAAACCTGCGCTCCTTCCCGCACACAAAGGCACAACTACAGAACATGAACACACACGAAGAGGACAAAAGGAAAACACATGCGCGTGCTCTCTCTCTCTCTCTCTCTCTCTCTCTCTCTCTCTCTATCGAGGGGCCCCGTACTTGAAACCCCAACAGCATACCCCCCTTCACACATTTCCCAGACCGGTTATCGTATCCAAGTACCCAGACACCCTTCTCCTCCCCCTCCCCACCGAGTTAAAAAGTCACCTCTTAGAAGGTCGATAACCGCCTGGATCTTGTCGAACACCTGTCCACCAACCTCAACAAAATTCTGTTTGATGGGGAGAACAAACAAAGAGCAAAGTTCAGGGAAGTAGCCTTGGAGGAGGGGGAAGCAGAGGGAATTACGACAAACACACAACAGAGTCCAAATCCATTAGTGTACAAGTACGACCTACAGAGTCCGCAGATGCACAAAACGAAATCTTACGTGCAAAAGTGGCGATTTTCTTGAGTAGGTTCGAATCCGAATTGAGCAAGACGATCAAGGCAAGTGCAAGTCCCCCATGCATGAAAGAACACAGCAGACAGCAGGGGTTGCGAGGGGGCTACCTGGCTGGCTTGCGACATTCTCGACCTGTAACGTCGGCGTGTGGCGATAGGCACGCCCAAGGCTCCAACAGCAGCAGCAGTAACAACAGCGGCGTCGACGAACAAAATAACAGCGCCAGATGGCGACCATGACAACAACAACAGCAGCAACAACAGCAACAGCAACAGCAACAGCAACAACAACAGCAACAACAACAACAACAACAACAACAACAACAACAACAACAACAACAACAACAACAACAACAACAACAATGACAACCGCGGAGGCGGCGACGACATACGCTTCACCTGCTGAATAGCCGGGTGATGCCTGTGCATGTGGACTTGCTGAATCTTGCGCGCGTTCGGGAACGCTCTCTTGATGTACTGGTCCACGGATTTCAGACCGTAAGTTGGCAGCGTCGCGGCCGCCAAGACTTGGAAAGGCAGCGACAGGGTTAATCATTCCAACTAATAAGTTGAGCCAACGAGCAGTGGAATCATGACGAGGACGACGGAATTAGGCTCTTTTTTGCGACGCTATTCACGTGTACCATCGCGGCCGGCGACGCTCAAAATGACAACAGCAATAGCAACAGCAGCAGCAACAACAGCAGGCGTAGCAGCAGCAGCAGCAGCAGCAGCAGCAGCAGCAGCAGCAGCAGCAGCAGCAGCAGCAGCACTAGCAGCAGCAGCAGCAGCAGCAGCAGCAGCAGCAGCAGCAAGTCAACAAGAGTAGCAACAGAAGCAATAACACCAGCAGCAGCAGCACCAGCAGCAGCACCAGCAGCAGCACCAGCTGAGAGGGTAGAACGAGAAGATATGTAGAAAAAGACTGGAAATATGCGCGACCTGCTGAGACAAAACAGCGCCGCGCATCGACCCATACAGAACAAAACACCCACACCCACACCCACACAACCAACCAAACCCGAACCCAAAAAACGAGCCAAAAGACGCACACACGCGTGCGCGTTTCGTACAGCAGTAGCTCACCATATTGCGTCTTGTCGATGCCGCGTCTCCTGACGCTGCCGTCCACGACCGAGCCCTCCTCCACCATTACCCGGTCAGCCCGTCGGAAAGCCACGAGGATGTCGTCCAGCTGCTTCCTGTAGCTGCCCTCCATTAGCATGTCCGCCTCGTCTAGCACCAGAGTCGTCGCCTTTTGTTACCGCGGCAGCGCGGGGGGGTACTCATTGTTGGCATGCTTTAGATGTCTAACCATTGACCACTAGCTGGGGCGGGGGGGGGGGGGAGNGGGGGGGGGGGGGGGGGTAGGTACGCATGTTTTGCATGCCTTAGTTGTTAAGACCATTGGCCACTAGGGCGAGGGGGTACTCGTGTATTGCATGCCTTATGCCATTGACCGGGCGTCCTCGCGAGGGCGGAGCATTGTTCTCGCAGGACTGATCACCGATGGCCGGCCATTCCCGCAACTCGTTTGGTGCTACCCTCCACCATTGGTTGGCCATTGACCACAAGCATCACCCAGTTCGAGACGCATGATCACCGATTCTTTCCCGCTAATCCTACTACAGACACACCGCCCCATTAGAGTATAGACAATCTAAATTTTAAATATTTTATGTTTTGCTTCCATCCGGGCGCGCGTTGTTATTTTTGCCCACTCACCGCAAATCCGTAGGGTCGGATGGGTGGGTCGTAACTTCCAAATACAATCCAAAGACCCCGTTGCTCCTACCTGACTTACCGTATGTGACACAAGATAACACACTCCCTGGACCGATTTTCAAAGCTCGATTACTCCACGACGAAGAGGATGCACAAACGAAACGATACATTTTCGAAAAGCTCTCGACGAGACGGTTTCAACGCCGCCGTCTTCGGCGCTGTGACTGTTCCGGCAGTTGAGAAATCGAGCTTCGAAAATCGGTCAAGGGGGTGTGTTATCTTGTGTCATACGGTATACATTAACCCAGTACAACTACTACTACTACTAGCCTTTACCTTGCAGAAAAGCGGGATGGCCTTCATGTTGGTGTACTTGTGGAGGAAAGACGGAGTGCAGACCAAGATGCTCGGGGCCGGCTTGTTGGGTGAGAAAGGGTACTCGTAGGACGACCCGTACTTCGCCGCGGCTGTTATAGCACAAAACGAAATCGAAAACGTGAACAAGGGGCACGCATATGGGTTAGGGTCAAGGAGGGCTCGGGGGCACACGCACAGCAGCAACGGCCTGTCGGAAGACAGAGAGGCAGTCGTCGGAAGAGGCCCTTCCATGCCGCGGACAACCCGCAGCAACGCGGTTGCGCTAGGATAGGGGCGTGCGGCTTCCTGGCGAGCTTGTCGTCGGGCGAGAGACGGGGATGCTTGCACGACTGAAAAAAACGCCTACTGACTCCCCACGGCTACTGCAACACAACGCCGTTGCTGTAGAGGAGGAGGCGGAGGAGGAGGAGGAGGCGCTAGAGAGGAGGGGACTTTTTCCCGTAAGGAATATACCACCGGCTTCATCCAAAATGAAAATAAACTCTCGTTGGTTGTCACGCTTCACAACCCCTGTATCGCTTCCATATTCCCGCCTGTCGTTGGACCGCTGGGCTTACCCGTCACGCCCGTGATTCCGTCGGCATTCAGAGCTTTGAGAATCCCCTTCAGCACAGAATGAACCTGCCCCAGAGACAGCGATGAGCCGGCCGGGGAAGATCGGGGTATATTGAGGTGCGAGGGAGAGAGGGGACGAGTAGGGAAGCAGTTGGGTGGGCGAAGTTAGTCGGGGATCCATATTTTTTCCTGCACTCACGTAGATGGGGAACTCACACAAACAGGTTCATTCTCGCTTTCTTGCGTGGGGCGTGAAGTCGAGAGCATTGTCTTTAACACGGCGATCGATTGCGATGCTCCATTACCTTTCTCAAACGGTGCGAAACCTCAGCCTGACCGTCCTCTTCAAGCCGCTCACTTCCTTAGAAATGCTAGTATTGAAGGAGAGGGTGTGTGCAGGCCAAAAAGTCTGCTTCGTGAGAAAAAACAACGCTTACAACCAAACATGGTTGGGGAAGAGGAAACAAAGGAGCTCGGGGGTAGGCCAACGCATACAACGCAAGAAGAGGTACGATATGATACTGGTACACGTCACGGGGCGACACTAAGCACCGATGCTCCGCCCCCTGCCTTAGCACTCTGACCTGATCACAGAGTTCCTTGTTGGGCACGAGCACGACCACGTCCGGGAACATCGGCCATCCGCGGGCATTTCCTGCAGCGACACAGACGTAAAGAACCCCCCCAAAAAAAGAGAAAGCGGCGATGGTAAGGATAACACTAGAGCGCCACGCAAGCGGGGGTGCAACAACGACCTTGACCACCACCAACGCCAACATAACCAACCATCCGAGGGCTAGCACCACCAACGGAGAAAAATCACAGAAAATCGCAGCAGCAACGATAACGTCCACAGCACCACCACCTTCACCCGCCCTCGGAGGCACACCCCTTGCCGCGACTCCCGCTCGCACCAAAGAAAACGTCACCCCACCTAGGAACTTCAACCCATGGCATATCTGGTTTGGCACAGCAATGATGGCCAGCTTCTGGTTCATCCTCGTGAAGCGAAGCCCGGGAACCCGGCACATCGCTCGGCCGTAGGTATGTGAAGTCGATGCTCTAACGAATACGGCATGCGTTTACATGAGAGTGTACACCCCCCACACATTGTAGGGATGTGAGGCTAATGGTCCAACGACTACAGCATGGGCGGCTACGAATACCCTCCCTACCTAGGAGCTCATCGGGGAGATCCTTGGCGACGGCCTGTCCCCTGAGCACCCTCTCCACGATGGGCAGCAGGTAGGCCAGGGTCTTGCCGGAACCGGTCTCCGCGCCGACGATCATGTCTTCACCACTGAGGATGCCGGGTACCGCGGCGGCCTGCGCGATGACCAAAACGTTGTCAGCTGCGGTTCCCTTGAAGGGAATTTGTCGGCTTGGAATGGGGGATAAACAAAAAAAGTTGTAAGCTACATATGCATGCCTTGTCAGAAATCTCCGCTTGGATTGGAAGCTAATCAACATCTCGGCTGCCGGCGTTTTGCCGTTATCTACCCCTTCTTGTTGCTGATCGGGGGATATTGGAAAGCGTGCACGTTAGCTCCTACCCTAATGGACCCCGTTCTGTTGCTGGTCGCGGATCGGACCGCGTACACGTCACGTTGAAACCACCGCCGACAACACCGCGCGCCGCGGCGGTCTCTATGCTAGAAACCACTTCCATGTAGGATTCGTTCGACGTAACTGGTACTCCTGTTTCTCGTGGATATATCCCAGAAAACAACACAAGTTGACCCCTTTGGCGGAAGGGATACGAATCGGCAGCGCCGCGGGGTGGCTGCAGCAGTCTCAAAACGCCGTGGGATGCTCGTATCGCGCTCTTCTCTCTTTCAGTATTGACGCAAAGCTTGTCGATGGTGTGCGAAAAAGACTACATATCGTGGAACGACCTCCCTCATCGCTGGTTGCACGGCAAGTCGCTGCTGCTGCTGCTGCTGCAAGACAAATTTAACGACGTACAGCGTAGAGGGACGTCCGCCAGCAACAAGAGCGGCGGTTGAACATGACCTGTGACCACGTGCGAGCTATTCACAAAACAGTCTAAGCGGCAGAGCAGTAATAGCGTATTTGCAGTAGGGTTTCTGCCCGCTAGCCCGCGCACCTGGACGGCGGTGGAGTCGCCTATGCCCAGCGCCTCCAGGTGGCTGCACAAGGCGGGGCTCAGCCCCAGGTCCGAGAAGGGCACCCTGTCCCCGAAGAAGATCGCCTCCGCCTCGGGATCGACCTCCTGACCGGCCATCCACTCGGTCTCATCGTCCTCCTCCTGCAGGAAACCGGCCTCCCCGGCGTCGGCGGCATCGCCGTCCCAAGCGGCGGGCGGCGGCGCGCCGGCGCCACCGGTGCCGCGTTCGCGAAACAAGGTCGAGGACGGCGGTTCTTCGAACCCTACCACTTCCTCGTCCTCCGTCCAGAAGCCCTTCCCTTCCCCTCCTGGACCGCCTGCTGCCGTTGACGACAGCCGCAGGCTAGCGCCGCCGCCTCCGCCCCGCCGCTGCTGCCGTCTGCCCGAGCTACTGCTAGTACCGCCAAGAGAAACACCGCCGGCGCCGGCTGCGGGACGCCGGGGTCGATCGTGCCCTTGCTGAACGGCAGAGAGACGTTGTTGATGTTGCGCACGCCGCCGCCGCTGCTGCTGCTGCTGCTGCGGTACGGTCGGACCCCAGCTGTTGACGAACGCCAGCGCTGCCCTAGACTCTGTTGATGACGCCACGCCATCGCGGGCACGGAAGAACGACCTCGCCGCCGTCATCGGACCGGCGGGAGTAGTAGAGGCAGCGGCTAGGGCCCGGGAGCCGCTGCGGCCGCCGCCGAGCACCGCGGCGGCGGAGCCGAGCACAATCCTGAGGACCATGATGGTGCTATGTGCTACTGCTGCTGTTGTGGTCGCTGTTGCTCTCGCGATGCCTTGAGATCGTGGGCGCTGCCGCCTTGCCCTGGCTGCTGCTGTTGACCGCGTGAGCATGGAAATGGACCTCCTTTCTACGCACGGTCTTGATCGAGGCAGCGGCTAGGTTCGTTGGGTGTCTCAAACACGCGGCCATTGCTGCCTCTGGGTGGTCCGAGAGGAGACACGCGGTCATTGGCCAATTTCGCACAGTGCCGATCGGCGCCGCTTGGGGCACATGCTTCTGTGTCACATCGACTTACCTACTCTACACTTCACGACGTATGCGCGTACGCGCTGTTCCGTGCGTCGAGCATGATGGCAATGGAATCTCGAGATGGTCCATCGAGGGTCGTCTTGGTGGTGGCGACGTCCCTACTCCTTCTCTCGTCAGGTGACGTTCTGGCGTGGAGGGAAAAGGAAAATGTGAACGCTGTGTGTGCGCGTTGTCATGAAGGGGAACACGTACGTGTTTTGTAGTCACCGCTGCTGCTGTGTTGCTGCTGCTGTTCTCTGTGGGTCCACGCTGAAGCCAGGAAGCGAGCTCTGGTTGTTGGTTGGCTGCACTGAGGTTGGTCGAATCCTTTTGTCTCTCTTTGACAGGTTCCACGACGCTGTTTTTGGATGCTGCGCGCTACTTTGTGCGATGCGTCTGTCACCCGCCTGATGGTACCTCCCTACTGCTGTAACTTCAGGCCAGTGTGTATCATAGTCCACATGAAGTACCAATCCTCTATGAGGATATCTGGTACAGCAGTACTCTGTCTGGGCGGTATAAGGCAAATCAACGGAGTGTACACTGCTGGCACGATAGAATCAATCGAAAGTTCAACATAACGATGATGTTCTCTACTACAATACAATGTACCAGCTTTTCTCCGCCTTTTTTTTTTGTTTGGAATGGAAGACCCCCTCGCCATCACCTTCTACTATCACAGCAGGTCCACCGCTCAGTCTTTTGGCATGTCAGCGTGTCAGCGTATCGCTGTCTCTCTTGTGCTTCAGTTAGAGACAGATGCGCTTTTTTACGGTAGAGTGAGCTTGTTGATTCATTTTTTGGTTCGTTGCCCCATGCCCATGGGGCACAAACATGGAAATGCTAACATCATTGCTTGACGTCAGGGTAACGGAGGCCGGCATCTGCACATGGCTTTGGTTCCCATGGAGCAAAGTATGACGTATCGCTTGAGGCGAGATCAAATCGGGCACCAAATGGTGCACTTACTGGGTAATACGAGAGCCCCTCAACCTGTAGTACGTAACTATTCAACGTGAAAAGCAGACCCAAGACCGCCCCATCTTTCTTATCTGACTTCGATCTCGTTGCCTCCTCACGCTCCTCTCGATCCATCCATACCAAATCATCACCGTTTCTCTGCCCTTATTCGTACGCCGACCCTGGTGCGCATCTTACACCTCACCCCCCTCCCCCCCGGTGGTGTTTGTCATCGGGTTGGGTTTTTGTCGAATGGCAACAACGTTGTAAAACAAGCCAATCGCTTCATGAAGTCGACCACCAGGGTACCGTGTTTTTTTGGCCTTTTTTTTTTTTTTTGCGGTAACCATGATGATGGTGGTCGAGTAGATCATGTTGTGCGGGGTTGAGAAGATTCACTCCGCGCAAAGGGGATGATCGCATCACGTTGTGTTAAAATAATTGGTCAAGCACTCTCGAGTCAGTTACACGATGCTCATTACTGTCTCTGGAAGTGAAAGCACCAGAAAATAAGTCAAGTCATTCGCAGCTGTCATCCGTAGCAAGGAAGTAAACACAAGATGCCGAATACCTCGCGGCGCTTCGCGCTTGGTGATGTGAGAGCCTGGTCCGGTGAGAACCCGGCGTGCTCCGTCCCGGCTTTG